CCTGTTAGTCCCGTTTTTCACCATCCACAGGCTCCGGAGACTTTCCTAAAGCCTGGGGAGGGTGATAAACAGCCCAATGCGCACACCGGAAGTTCATTTCTGAACTTCCAGTAGGCCTGTTGAGCCTGTTTTTCGCCATCCACAAGCTCCGGAGACTTTCCTAAAGCCTGGGAAGGGCGAAAAACGGCCCAATGGGCAAACCGGAAGTTCATTTGTAAACTTCCGGTAGGCCTGTTGGGCCCATTTTTCGCCATCCACAGGCTCCGGAGGCTTTCCTAAAGCCTGGGGAGGGTGAAAAACAGCCCAATGGGCAAACCAGAAGTTCATTTCTAAACTTCCGGTAGGCCTGTTGGGCCCATTTTTCGCCATCCACAGGCTCCGGAGGCTTTCCTAAAGCCTGGGGAGGGTGAAAAACAGCCCAATGCGCAAACCGGAAGTTCATTTCTGAACTTCCAGTAGGCCTGTTGGGCCCGTTTTTTGCCATCCACAGGCTCCGGAGACTTTCCTAAAGCATGGGGAGGGTGAAAAACAGCCCAATGGGCAAACCGGAAGTTCATTTCTAAACTTCCGGTAGGCCTGTTAGTCCTGTTTTTCGCCATCCACAGGCTCCGGAGACTTTCCTAAAGCCTGGGGAGGGTGAAAAACGGCCCAATGGGCAAACTGGAAGTTCATTTCTGAACTTCCGGTAGGCCTGTTGGGCCCGTTTTTCGCCATCCACAGGCTCCGGAGACTTTCCTAAAGCATGGGGGAGGACGAAAAACAGCCCAATGGACAAACCGGAAGTTCATTTCTGAACTTCTGGTAGGCCTGTTGGGCCTGTTTTTCGCCATCCACAGGCTCCGGAGACTTTCCTAAAGCCTGGGAAGGGCGAAAAATGGCCCAACCAGCCTACTGGAAGTCTGGAGGCTTCAGTGAGACCTGTGCGCATGTGCGGGTGTGTGTGTGTGGAGTGTGGTGTGGTCAAAAGCTGATACCAAAATGTAGACTGTGATGCTGGGATGTAGATGACCAACAATGCTACCTTTGTTTATCTATCCTGCTCAATCCAATTTCATACAAGGGCCACAGTCTTTACATGATATTAAATTACTGAATATTTAGATAAACATTCAGAAAAACTGAAATGAAGAATGATGATCTTGTTAGTTGTGGTAAAGGAGCTGGACCTGAATCCAATGGAAAATTCTGGAACAAGGAAATTGGAATAAAAAATGTTTTTAATGAACTGGATTAGAATAGGATGTCCTTCAGACAGGGTTATTATGGCCTGCCGATACTTTAGGGAAGTCATATATTCTTTATCTTCTCATCTGTCTAATTTGATATTGGTCTCATTGGCTTGTCAACAAGTAACTGAAGGAAATTCTAAATATAAAAATTTCCTAAGAGTGCATTTTATGATATGTTTTTTCATCGTTATAAGACCAGTTTTTATTAATATAGTATATCACTTTGATATACAATTATGTATAGGTTGTATAAATATCCATATAAATGTGTATCGGCTTCTCCATTCAGACCTGAATAGTACACAGAGAACATGAAGAACAAGTTTAAACCTTTTGATCTGTATGATCAAATAGTGGTAATTATTGCTTCTATGCTAATTCTTGGCTTCTGTCTGTTCCAGAATTGACTCTAGAAAGAGGGAACTGTGATTTTAGAACAAACTGTCAGTGGTACTGCATGTTACATATCTAACAATGTCTGTATTCAACTCTTTTGGGATTAAACCACTTCCCCCAAGCTTTTAAAAAAAGTATTTTTCCTTTACCACAATTCTGTTCGTCACTAAAATCTCCGCAATCATCATAACCATCACAAACAAAGGTATAATTGAGGCATCTCCCAGTGTCGCAGCGGAAAAGCTCTTCACTGCAATCTGCAAAACAGAAATATGTTCTTTAAAAAGCTTAGTTTGGTTGAACCAAGATAGTCCCTTCCCCCAAGCGAAAGATTAATTCCTGATATTTTACAAATTATTCGATAACGTTTAAAATTAACGCTAGTTTCATTCTCTCAATAGCGCCAAGTAAGCCAATGATCTACTCCAGGGGTTGCTGGGGGTTTGCAAGGGTTCGGAAGAACCTCTAGTTAAGATTGTGTGCAGTTCGGAGAACACCCAGATCCCACTCCTGGCTGGCCCCGCCCACGCCTCCTCTCCCAGGAGTCTCCACGCGGCCCGTTTGGGATGCAGGTTAAGTGCAGGGCATGCACGGAGGCTCGGGAAGGGCAAAAACTGGACCTACTGGAAGTTCAGAAGGGCCAGAAACGGGCCCATTTCCAGCTTCCAGAGCCCGGGGAGGGCAACCCCCCTCGCTGTGGTGCAGGAGGCCGACTAAGCCATGCCCACCCAGCAACCGAGCAGAGAACCCCTTGCTAAAAATTTTGAAGTCCACCCCTGATCTACTCCTGCTTTAAGGAGGCCATTAGACATACCTTCTCTTCAGGGAGGTCTTTCTCTGTAGCTGCCCCGGCCCTGTGGAATGATTTACCCGCAGAGATCCGGACCTTTCCCACTCTCTCGGCCTTCCGGAAAGCCACTAAAACCTGGCTGTTCCGGCAGGCCTGGGGCTGCTGACCCCAAAATACGGTCCAGCCCCATTTAGAACGGAGTGTATGGTGTGCTGTTTTTAAATCTATCTTTTTCCCCCCCTGTATTTTATTTTTGATTTATTCTGTACTGTGAGCCGCCCAGAGTCCTATGGGATTGGGCGGCATATAAATGTTATTAAACTTGCAAACTTAGAAGACTTGGAGATTGAAACTGGCTGGTTTCAAATATAGTATTTCTGACTATAATAATCAAGAAGGTTGCACAGACCTGTTTGGAAGATTTTCTCAACATAATCTAGTCAGGACTATCTAAGAACCTAATATTGTTGGAACCCTGCTGGAATTAAACCAAGATGCATCTTAGTTTAAGATTTTGTTTTCGATAGTGGCCAATGGTCAAGAAACATTAGTGGTAGCGGAAATTTTGAGTAGTTCAGAGAACCGGCAAATACCACCTCTGGCTGGCCCCAGAGTCGGGTGGGAATGGGGATTATGCAATATCTTTCCCCCAGGAGTGGGGATTTTGCAGTATCCTTCCCCTGCCAAGCCCACCAAGCCACGCCCACAGAACCGATAGTAAAAAAATTGAATTTCACCACTGCTTCCTTCCCAAATTAAAGAATATTTTTGTTTGATCCTACTCATGACTTTGGTTGCCCTCTTCTGAGAATAGATTCAGACTTACGACTGCATGTTTCACTTGGCAACCACATAACTCAGACTTATGGCCACTGGATTCATTTAATGACTGCTGTAAAACATCATAAAATTAGGTCTAGTCCTCTAGTCTCCTCAACATCACATGACTTACAACCAAAATTCCAGTGTTAGTTGCTATTGTAGGTCAAGGACCACCTATTATACAGATACAGTGGATGAGTACAAGTTCACTCCAATAGCTGTAATGCTGTTTTTCGCCTTAATATTTTGTCTGACGCAACTTAGGCAACTTACTGCAATGCAATTCATCGCTCCAGTCATCACAATCATTAAAGCCATTGCACTGCAGAATCCTTGGGATGCAAACCCCGCTTCTGCACAAGAAGCTTCCATCTTCTTCACAAAGTACTGAAAAACAAAAAAAATAAGGAACAGGATAATAGCTTCTCTTAGATTGAAAACCAAAAGTACTTCCCAACATTTCTTTGAGAGGGCATTAGATAACTTCAAGCTCCAACTGTTAGCAAGTCCAATTTAAAATTATATCCCACTAGCCGATAACTCGGCGTTGCCCAGGTATTTATTTCTCCTAACTCTGTATTAGGTTGGAGCTCCCTTGTGGAGTACTGTGACGCCGTTACCATGGTATACCATCTAGAAAATGTGGCAAGCTTTGGTAATGAGCCATGTATATATAACTTCTGCAAACTACAAAGATTTGTCTGGAGGCAGTATGCACAATCCTGTTTTGATGTTGTCTGAAGGAAACCATGAACAGGAAACCAAATTAGATTAATCTCACAACGAAGGCGAGATATTTACTCTACTGAAGAAACATGCAAGTGTTTCTCATCAGATTCCTATGGTTCAGTCTGATTCAAGGAGACAAACGCTGCTTTTTCCTGTCCACTGCATTTCATTTTGAAATCAATCTTCTGAATTTTTATAATTGAAACCTGCTCATACACACAATACACCGCGGTGCTCACACAATGCTGTGACTCACAATACTGATTTCCGAAGAGCTCTACTCCTCTGTGGGTGCCTTGCTTGGAGGATTATGAAGGCATCTATTGGCCATCCGGGAACTGAATGGTGGACAGGATTCTTACAGCAATAAATGTTGGAAGGGCCGTTAAAAAAAAGGAACATTTTACCATTTGTGGTGGTCGTGCAAAATAAACTCCAAAATGTTGGAAAGAAATACAACAAAACATCCAGAAAATTCTGAAAGTAAAATTTGAACTGAAGCCACAAATACAATACAATAGCAGAGTTGGAAGGGGACTTGGAGGTCTTCTAGTCCAACCCCCTGCCTAGGCAGGAAA